ACCCTTGCTCTTTGTTTTTTCTCATCCAGATGGTGATGTGGTCACGGAAACAATTGTAGAAACAGGGAGAGATGTAGTGCTGATTCATGGGACATGTATACGCTGCGCCCTGCCCAGACAACCTCAGCACTTAGCAGGAGCCAGTCTCTCAACACAGAAAAGGACCACGCAGTGGGCACAGCAGCCTTTCGAGCAGGCCAGAGAGGTACATGGTGCCAAGGTCTCCAGAGTCCAGCCTGGGCAGCTTAGTGACCCACGAGACCTAACCTCAAAATAAAAAATACAAAAGGGCTCTGTGGAAAGGCAACACGTTCAGTTCCCAGCCCTGAAAAGAAACCCGACTCACACCGAAGGCAAGTAACAGATTGCTACTTCCCAGTGTACCAGCATAAATGCCAGATTTCAAACTACATTGGGGAAAGTTAGGGAGGCCTGGAGCTAAAGAACTGGGGGTGAAGATGCTGGGGCATGGAGTGCTGCGGAGCAGGCGTGAAGCCCTGGGCTCTGACCCCAGCACCAAACTAGGAAGGAGAAGTTAAGATTACCAACTTCCTATTATGTGTATGTTACAAAAAAAATAATATTCAGCTAAGCTGAAAAGCAAGTGGACACATGAACATTTATTCATTGCGGCTTTAGTAAAAGCTTAGGAGCAATGTAAATACTCACAATGGAGATGTAAGTGAATTATATGTCCTCACAGCTGTTTAAAAAATAAAAACGCTTTCCATTTACTAATCCATAAAGACTTCCACTTGTAAAGTGTTAACATTTTAATCACAGGAAAAAATTGCTAACTACAGAACATAATAATGTCACGATCTTTTTTAAAAAGATGAAACGATAGATTTAATGTACTTATGTTTGCTTGTGTATGCATAAAGAAATCCTGGAAGGAACAGAAGAAATTTCTAACAATGGATCCATCTGGCCCGGGCTGCGGCTCACCCTCACGGCCGCCAGGGGGCGCGGCCCCATCTCAGCAGCAGAGGGAGAGGCAGGATTACCTGATCAGCAACCTTCAAGTCACAGCCGGCCTTCAGCAGGGTTTCCACCAGCTCCACATTTCCAAGGTCAGCAGCCACGTGCAGGGGGGTTTGCTGCCTCTGCCAAGAAAATATTTTACATGGAATGAAAGCAAAAGAAGGAGGGAAAAATAGTACTCCCTTCGTGAAAAGAATAAGTGAGTTGAGGCGTACTCTATCCACCTAAGGGGAAAAGCATAGGTCATGGACGTTGACTTGGGTCAAGAGGACAATCAGTGCAGTATTATTTATAATAGTGAAACACTGAGAGGAAGTTTCGTGTTGTGCAAGGGGACATGAGATCAGTTATGCCACGTCTGTAAATGAGAATCA